TCAAATCGGTCAGCAGGCTTCCTTGGCTAAAACCCTAGAGTCTCTTTCCATTGATGTATGCTGTGTCTCCGAAACACGCATACAGGATTCCAGTGTGGTCATTCACTTGACCTCACCTCGGCAAGACGGAGAGCCAACGAGATACACCCTTCGTGTGTCCGGTGACCCGATGGCAAGTTCTCGTGGACTGGCAGGTGTAGGCATAGCACTAAGCATAAGGGCCGAACAAGCACTGCTAGAGTGGATCCCCGTCAACAGTCGTCTATGTGCTGTTCGGCTGAACGGCTACGTAAGAACTCGGAAGGATAGGGACACACGTCGTTGCCTTTTTGTCGTTTCTGCCTACGCTCCCACTGACTGCAGCTCAGATGAAGTGAAAGATGAATTTTACAGAAAGCTATCCGAACTTCTTCACAAAGCTAAACGCTCAGACATAGTACTCGTAGCAGGTGATTTTAATGCCCAGATAGGCAGTTTAAACCAAACAGAAAGGCATTTAGGTGGATATTTTAGTATTCCGACACAGCGAACAGATAATGGTGATCGTCTGCTGCAGCTATGCTCAGACAATCGTTTATTTCTAGCAAACACAAATTTTAAGCATAAGGAAAGACATCGGCTAACATGGCGACCCCCTACACCAAACCAACGATGGACTCAAATAGACTATATTGCCATCAGTCATCACACTGATGGATTCTCGCAAACTCGTCCCATCAGGCTCTGAACATGATGAAGAGCGACAACAAATCAGATCTAGGTTAATAAAAAGTCTAAGGAACGACCGTGAGTAGTGGTGGGTAACGAAAGCAAAAGAGATGGAAAAGACGGCGACTATAGGGAACACAAGACAGCTTTACAGACTAATAAAAGAAACTGGAATTAATAAGTCAAGTGTAAGTGAGATTATTTCGGAAAAAGACGATACTCTCATCTGCTCCCAGTCCAGACGTTTAGAACGATGGGCGGAACATTTTAGAGAACAGTTCAACTGGCTTTCAGCTACTCTACAACTACCCTCCATTCCCAGACAATGTGAATGGAACATTGAAGTAGGTTCCCCAACTCTTGCTGAAGTCGAGAAGGCTATAGTTAATCTGAAACGAGGAAGGGTAGATGGATTGGCTCCAGAGGTCTTTAAGGATGGTGGTTCAATTTTAGCGATTACGTTGACTAATATTTTAGCTAAGATCTGGGAGTTAGACGTTATTCCATCTGACTGGTCACAATCACTTATCGTCCCAATATATAAGAAAGGGTCAAAATCATCCTGTGACAACCATAGAGGGATTAGTTTAACTAATATAGTATCTAAAATACTAGCCTCGATAATTATCAGACGCCTAACTAAGACTCGTGAACTGCAAACACGAGAGAACCAAGCTGGCTTTAGACCTGGTCGTGGCTGCATCGACCACATATTCACCATTCGTCAGGTTCTAGAACACAGGCATACTTATCGGCGTCCGACGATGGTGGTCTTTCTTGACTTAAAAGCAGCATTTGACTCTGTAGACCGCGAGATTCTGTGGCAGTGTCTGTCATTGAAAGGCGTACCTCAGAAGTACATAAACCTTGTGAAGGCTCTTTACTCGAACACTACTAGTCGAGTCAGGGCTTATGGCGAACTGTCATCTACCTTTACAACCTCAAGTGGTGTCCGTCAAGGCTGCCCACTTTCTCCATTTTTGTTTAACTTCATCATAGACCTATTGATGGAAATAACACTCTCGTCGACTGAATTCTCGGGTATTGATCTCCTTCCAGGAGGTCCACTTATCGACTTAGAATATGCAGATGACATAGTCCTGTTTGGTGAAGACGCTGACAAAATGCAGAGTCTTCTGGTAGCACTAAGCAACAATGCCAGAATGTTTGGGATGCGCTTCTCTCCCTCTAAATGCAAGTTGTTGCTTCAGGACTGGTCTGCGTCAACACCTGAACTAAGGATAGGGAGTGAAGTAGTCGAACGTGTTGACAACTTCACTTATCTTGGAAGTCTGATCAGCCCTAATGGGTTGGTGTCTGACGAAATCTCAGCACGGATTCGTAAAGCTCGTTTGGCTTTTGAAAATATACACATTATCTTTAGAGACAGGTACATATCCGGAAACCTGGAAGGTAACGTATGTTCTTCCCAAACACAAATCCGGACCGAGAAACCTGGTTGAAAACTACAGACCTATAAATATCACTCCAGTCATATCACGCATAATGGAAAAAGTGATACAAAATCAACTATCTGATCACCTACTCAAGGAAGATCTAATAGACCCGTCACAACACGGCTTCATTAGAACAAGGTCGTGCAGTACATGCCTGATAGACTTCTTTAACGAGGTTACTCGTATGCGTGACCAGAAGAAACTAGTTATTATACTATACTTCGATATTAAGAAAGCCTTTGATAAAGTACCTCATAATCTTCTAATCAACAGACTGAAGTCAGTTGGAATTATAAATCCCCTTTTGCAATGGATCAAGTCTTTTCTTACGAACAGATATCAAATAACCAAGATTAACTCTAATACATCTACACCTCGACCGATAACCAGTGGTGTTGTGCAGGGTAGTGTCTTGGGTCCATTGCTCTTTATAATCTACATCAACAATATATGCAGGTGTTTTAGCACAGGTAAGACCTACCTCTATGCCGATGACTTAAAAGTCATCTATAAAACTGACATTTGCGATTTACGCAGTACTATGCAAACAATCCAACATGAACTCAACATGGTAGATGACTGGTGCAAACGCTGGAGGTTAGAGCTCAACATAGAGAAATGCGGCTGGTTATGTATAGGAGACACGTCTCTTAAAATGAAACTAACACTTAGCGATCACACACTCCCAGACTGGCATCAGTAACTGACCTAGGGGTACATTACTCACACAGTCTTAATTTCTCTGAACACATCTCAGCCAAAGCATCCAAAATGCGGAAATTGCTTGGCTTCATTCTCCGTAATTTCTATCAAAATGAATCTAAAATCCTTCTTTACAAAGTTTGTGTAAGACCTATCGTTGAATACTGCTCGTTCTTATTTTCCAACCTACGTCTATCTGATATACTAAAGGTGGAAGGAATACAACGAGACTTCACCCGCAAAGTACTTAAGACTGACTCGGTCATTGACTACAGTTCTCGATGCCAAATCTTAGGAATAGCACCCCTTTGGGAGAGAAGGCTTAGGTCTAATTTGATTCTCTACTTCAAACTACTCAAAAACCTTACTTACTCAACATGTCAGATAATTCTTGCCCGAGATTCACATGAATACGACTTCGAAACAAAGTATCTACGGTCAAAGTTGAGAAATACAGATCAAAAACTCGGGAAAACTTCTTCCTCACCAAGTATGCAATAATATGGAACAGTCTTCCTCCGAGACTCGCATGGCAGATGAACTACATACGTTTGTGAAACTGCTTGATCAAGCCCTCACTCGCACTGATCTTGCACGTACGAACACATCTGCACCCCACTCAGACATCATAGGCTCTCTCCATGTCTAGACCAAAATGGACTTCAAGTTCAGTTTGCCTTATTTTTCCTACTTTGCAGTTGTATTAATTACTTTTTCCACCCCATTTCTTCACTTGAAGTAGACAGGTAACTCACTGGACCTATCATTACTGTTAAACTAAACTCGGTCGATAAGGGACACTCACTACCACCCTAAAAAGTCAAGAGGACCGCACAATCGGCTGCCTACTACCAGTGGTCTTGCATCTATGGAGCCTGTTACCAATCAACTGGTTAAGACAACAGAAAATAACATCAGCACCAAGTTACTGTGAGTTCCTTCCTGTTTATCCTGTATTAACTTTTTACTCTTCTGTACACTATGTTGACTAGCAATTAATATTATTTCTCCACTCGTTCCCTTATCCACAACTCATATACTTCTATACTTTTTCCGCCTGCTTAAATAAACAACTATCCTACAATATACCCTTCTTAACGCTTATACTCTGTTTGGCAAACTATACTTTATACTATAGTCAACAGAGGCACTGCATCGATGCTTTACCCACAGTCCATAGCTTGTAACTGCCTGATAAGCTTGTAAAATGGTACTTATAGAAATAGTGCTTTCCAACAAGTTGTGAAACAGAGGATTGTGTGAGGTATGACGTATATACAAAAATAAGCCTAAATGAGCCTAACATCACAAAAGGAGGGAGGGTGGAGTTACTGACCAGCAAGCATTGATGGTGAGGGCGATAACTTCAAACCACCCGTGTTTGTGGGGACAGAACATTTTGTATGTATCAGGCTCTTTATAATTGAGAATAAGACAGTCAATCTAAGATATAGATTGTCTTCCTACGCTCACCACTCAGACTCATGTTTCCAATAATATGCTGGATTAGCTATTCTACTAAGACAACCTATAACATGCTAACTCGGACTTTTACACTAGGATTGCGTGGCTGACATCGGATGGACAAAAAAAGAAAGAAAAAGACAATGAAAGATATAGTCACTAGTATTAACACTTCACCCTCTATATACACACCCTTCTAATAAACCGCTTTCCTTGTACCAACCTTGACTTCCCTTCCTTCATGTGAGCTTACTCCAACTTGTTAAACATCACAACTCGTTGTTCTTTATTAGTACATTCTCTAATATGGAGCCTCTGACTTCACTTCACTCTAACAAGACATAATATGAATTTATTCTAATTTATTATACCTCTGTCCGTTCTACTACACAATGTTAAGCAACCTTTGGCGTTCATATCCAAGTGCCTTGCTGCTCTTCTGTTTCTCTTTTTTTCTTTTCAGAATCTTGCTCTGAGAGCACAGCTATGAAACTTCTGACGTTTGGAGCAAACTTGACGTACGCGTCCTCTCAAGGTCATAGTTTACAGCAAGCGCTCTACGATTTCACTTTATAACAACTATAAACTTAATAAGTTGGGAAGCATTTTGCGAACCAACAAATGTTGTAATTAATAGATCATGCCTGTAAAAACGGTGTGTACCTGCACATGCAGAAATATATTATTATTATTATTATTATTATTATTAAACTCATACCAAAAATGTGGAGAAAGATGAAGATAATTCCTTTGCCCAAGAAAGCATCTGGTGATAAGAATGTAAAATTTAGACCTATTGCAATAACTTCACCCTTCCTCAAAACCATGGAAAAATTATTATTACTTCCACTTCAGCCTGCGATAAAAGAGCATACTGACCCATACCAGTTTGCATACAGGCGCAAAAGAAGCACTTTAGATGCTGTTGCTGTTCTGCATCACAACATAGTGTTCAACTTAGAAAAGGGTAAGAAGTATGTTCGATGTGCTTTTCTGGACTATACTTCAGCTTTTGATTCTATACCAGGACAACGTTTAATTAACAAGTTAATCAGCGTCAACACTGACAGCTGGATAACCAACTGGTTATGTTCCTACCTCTCTGGAAGGGATCAGTACACTGTGTTTGGAGGAAAGTGTTCAGAGTCTCTACTGTCTCATGAAGGTGTACCACAAGGAGCTGTTCTTTCACCCCTTCTTTCTCTTTTTTTCTGCATGATCTGCCATCTACAGAAAACACTTTTTTGAAATATGCGGATGATCTTACTGTATGTATGCCTATCTCTTCCTCTTTACATCTCATAGAAATGAACGAGTTGTTGTCTCGTATTGATTGTTGGTCTGTTGGTAATGGTCTCATACTTAATCCATCTAAATTTCAAGCTGTTAACTTTAGTATGAGACATGAACGGAATATAAACACTATTTTGAGATCCCATAGTGCTTGCACCATCGGTGACTCTTTGATACACAGTGTCGAAGGTCAATTATCTTAGTGTCACCTTTTCCTCTGATCTGTCTTGGTCTACCCACGTTTTATTGTTATCAAAGAAGGTTTTCTGTCTGACCTACTACATAAAGAGATTGCAAGCTCTTGCGATTACTCGTCATTAACTCTTACAATTTGTCAATTCTTGCATATCACCTATTATTCTTTACTGTTCTCCATCATTATTTTGAGGAAAGACTTTGCTGTATTGCGGAGAGTGCTGAGGGCAGTTAGCAAGATGTGTGGTGAATCTTTGGAGATCATAATTAATATGGTTGTGGATAGAAATCTGAAGTCATGCAAACTCCTGGCAGGTGTTATTTTATCAGATACTAGCCATCTCCTTCACTCTTACCTTTCTCCTTGTATATCTTCTGGTAGAACGAGACGTAATTACATTAAAATCCATGCACGCAAGCAAAAGTATAAAAGTTCTATAATACCTTACCTGGCAAATATACTCTGTGACGAACAGGTTGTTAGAGTCAACCTAGTCTATAACTTGCATTCTTATCATGTCCTTAATTCTAGAAGTTCTACAGTTTTTTAATCGTTTTTTCTTTTTTAAAAAATTTCTCTTTTTTTGTATTCGTTACTGTTTTTTTGTTGTTGCGTAAGTAACTTGTTGAAATAACCTGTGCTGAGAATTCTATATTGTACCAAAACTATAATATTAAATAAATCCATTATTAATAATGATAATAATGATAGTCCATCCGTTCGTGTTGACGTTTTCGTGTCCAAGGTGATAAGAGCCTTGAGTACATCGTCTTGAACAAAGTCCACGGTAAGCAGACGCTTTGTTGACTTTGCTTTTTGGTCTAGTTCTTCGTCTAGAAGAGGCTCATGAGTGAAAAATGCCTCATAATATTTTGTCATAGTCTCTGCTTTTTCCTGATCATCCTCTATCATTTCAAATCCACTCCCTTCCATAACTAGGTTGTGAATCCAATACTGAGTCGTTGTTTTGTAATTTATGTACGAGAATAGACTCTTAGGCTGCCTGATCGCAGATTGTGCCGACCGCATTTCAAAATTTCCATGAGTTTCCCGGGTTTTGATTATACACATATTTCCTACCGTCCTGTAGCATTACATATTACTTGCTGCTCCAAGGCTGATGGCAACGTTCCAAAATTCCTTCTTTTTCCTAGTAACATCGAATATCCCTGCCCATCCAGGGATGGCCGCGTTTCTTCTTCGAGACTGTCCAGGGTATATATGGTTGAGTAAACTGACTGTGTAACTGCCTCAAGTGAGTCCATGCCTCTTCTACTGATGCCCACAGAGTCAATTATCCAGTTTTTATCCGATGCTACAAAGTTTATCGCCTCCATGTATACCTTCTATATATCAGGACGGGCCAGTGCAACTGTTTGACAGGGCATCTCAGCCATGAACTGGAAAAAGTTGACTGCATGATTACTTTTCCCTAGAGAGGGGGAGAATCATTTGACCGACGACATCACAGTGTGTGAAGAATAAATCCAATAGAAACGAGGAGATTCTCAAGTCATATCTGATGAGGTCTCTAATATGCTGGAACAAAGCTAGTGCAATTGTGGTTTCTAACAATTTGCAATCAAAGGTTGTTGATGACCTTACTTCTAAGTTCACGCAGTTTATTTACGATGCATTAAAGTCGTCTACCATAAGGCTTCTATCCTTATTACACCAGGACTTAAGTTTGATTAGGAGGAAGTAACCTACTGTACATTCTGGACTGTGATATACTACAATAAATTCAACATATTACGATAAACATTTCAGCCTGCAACGCACCAGTTCACCCGTTCCTGTATCATGTGCCACTATCTCAAAAGCCCGAATGGTTGAGGTGCATTTTGTGTACAGGATAACCCCACTTCCTCTACGATTTGGTCTGTCAACCCTACTGAATAAAAAGTAGTCAACTGAATTTCATTATCAAACACTTCTGACGTTAACCATGTTTCTGAAAAAGCAATGACATCCGGGTTTTCTATATCCACTACTGTCTTGAACTCCCGCATTTTATATTGTAGGTTTCGAACATTTTTAAAGCACAGTTTTAATTTTGTGCAGAACTTTCTAATACCTAACAGAGTGGTTTGGGGATGGTCCTACACCGGACTTTTACAATATAAAACACTTGACTCCCGACTGCACATCATCTGCACTAACTGTTTTTGCTCATGAATACACTGAACTTAGTGTTACTACCTTCAGTGCTTCACTTTCAATCATATGTGATGATTTTAATTCATGTGATTATATCTTTCTTTCATCACCAAAATGCAGGGAATTTTTCCTCTCGTCTGAATGCCCATCTAGACTTAGTTTTCATTGATGATGTGGGAATATACATGACTTAAACCTACTCCAAGGTCCAGTTCTATTTGTTTTATGATTTGTGTTCTACCTAAGGTGTATGACAAACTTGTAAAGAGCACACACTTACATCAGACAAAGATAGTCAAATAGAAGAATTACTCAGAAGAAAATATCAAAAGTCCGAAATACATGTTTCGTACGACTAGCTGGGGATTATTAACAAATGAATCATTGGAAAATGTCATTCATGTTATTATTTGTTATTTTAGATTCCGTCTCGAGATTTGTAGTTTCACTGGAACTATTCTCGTAAGTATTGGGCGACTTACATATCCACAACTAAAACGGTTGCGGACAACAAAAGAAAGAATGTACAATGAGAAAAACGCCAACAATCGGTTTCTGAATAGCGGATGTCTAACTATAAATCAGTGTCATTGCTCTGCCTTCCATTTATTTCTGCATGTTTGTTCAAATGCTCCTATTCACTCTCTTGTTTGCATGTTTGTATTCGGCCCGAGTTTTGACTTTCTATGTTCTTGTTCGACCGTTGAGAATTGTTTTCTTCTTGTTCTTCCTTCTTCGTATCCTGCCCAGAGTATCGGCAGAAGTTTATCCTTCGTGATGACGATTCTTGTGACCCGGAGCTTCGTAGCGCGTCAAAGTTAAAGCTTCTTTGATGCCGTTGCAGTTGTTTACCATGGTGGTTTCCTCTTCTTCTGGCAGATCCTGTGCGGTTTAGAGCCTGTTGCTGAGAGCTATCTTGAACTTGTTCAGCTTGTCAGTATCTCAAGGGAAGGCTATACTAAACGGCTGTAATGCTGTTTCTCTAGCTGTTAAGTGCTTCTTCAGCTTCAGTTCCATCTCGATCACAACCAGGTAGTGATCTGAAGCAGTGTCAGCTAATCTTTTTGTTCTCACTTCTTCCAGTAAACCGAACCTTTTAGTAATGTGAATGTGATGGACCTGGTCCTTTGTTGTGTGGTCCGATGAAACCCATGTAGCTTTGCTCATGCATTTGCAGAGGAATACGGTGCCACCCATAGCCGTTTTGTTGAATGCACATAAATGTGCAAATCTCTCACCATTCTCGTTCCTTTCTCACAGTTCATGTCGTTTGGGTCTTCCATCAGGATGGCCAGATCCTTCCCTGACAACTTCTGTACGATTTTTCCTGGTTAGCGATTTCTAAGTAACGTGCTCCTATACATCAGGGGGTTATTGACTTTACGCTAAACGGATTGGGCTGCATATTTGTAGTATATGCTTTTCATGTATTTGGGCGATCACAAATATTATGTATTTCAATATCGGACATTATCGTTCCTATAACAAATTGTTGCGTCTAAATTTACTTACAAACTTCGGCACGTGGGGAACCAAACAAGGAAGGTAAGCAAAATAATCTAATATTAAATATGAAACATATTATATGCAAATGAAGAGATTTCCAAAACCAACTTCGTTGTTATCACACTTTCTCACTTGACGGGATGATTTATATCAGAAATTTAGACCTTCATTCTATTCATTCCTAGTGATCGAACAGGATTTGCAATAAACGTGAATAGTATATTGTCTTAAGGAATACATCGTTGAGGTTTAAACTACGTTAAATCTAAACATTATAGGTCTCCATAGATAATTTTCATCGCACGTATTGATATTCAACATGTGATCAGTATTCCACGTACTGATAGTTTCGTTTTACAAAAGTATATTCGCTTCGTACTAATTACTATTGTGTTAAAATTTACACAGATTTAACTTATTGTGTTATGATACAAGCACCATTCAGGTTTTGCTCAAGATGTCCACTACCAACGTAGTATCACCTTAGTATATTATCTTTTATGTTTAAACAAAAATGTTTAAATAGATTTACATTTTCATACAAGCAATCAGTAAGTTTTATCACTTGATGTCTTATAAAAGTACATGGAAAGTGAAAAACAATCGAGTTATAATGAATCCTATTTTAATTCGAAATATTTACAGATTTATTTAAATTACTTAGATTCGAAAAGTATTTGAAACAAAGTCATAATAGTAATGAGGGAACAATAATTTCAAGTATAGAATCAATTATAATAAATAAAATTGAATGAAGAGTTTGATAATCATGTTCATTTAAATAATACATAACCTTAACGAAATAATATTATTAGAAAGTATAATATTTTAAATACTCTGCTTGACACCATAATATGGAATATCGTATCTGTGTATGAAAATTAAGTTAATTCTGTGAAATTGATTAAACAG